GGGCCGCACGTCCGGGGGCTGTACCCAAGGCCACCAGGTGCCGTCAATGGCCCGCGGGCCTTGCGATGAAGAACGCTGCTGTCGAGGCTATTTGGTTTATAGCCTCTTGGTCTACTTTGCCAGGCTGTATTGGAAGAGGTGGCTGGCTCGACCCCCACAAATTAAACCCACCAATCAACAGTCGTGGACCCATTCATGTTGCTAGGTGGACAGAGACTGTGGCGGAAATTTCGGAACGTGTCCAATTACAACTGCCGTGCCGGAGATCAAATCTAACCGGTGACTTCTCGATTGCAACTCCAGCGCCGCGAACCAACACACCACGGCAACATCCACGGGTGCCTGGTGTACAGGAGGGCGTGGGTTCGATCCCGACCCTGACGCCTGCTGCTGTATATTTGGAGTTTGCGTGTCTCTCTCTCTCATCATCACGGTGGCTAGGAGATGTTAACTACCTCGCCTGGTATACAGAAGGTTGTGGGTTCGATCCCGACTCTGACGCCTGCTGTTGTATATTTGGAGTTTGCGTGTCTCTCTCTCATCATCATCAAGGTGGCTAGATGTTAACTACCTCGCCTGCTGTACAGGAGGTCGTGGGTTCGATCCCGACCCTGACGCCTGCTGTATATTTGGAGATTGCGTGTCTCTCTCTCATCACCACGGTGGCTAGGAGATGTTAACTCCCTCGCCTGGTATACAGGAGGTCGTGGGTTCGATCCCGACCCTGATGCCTGTTGCTGTATATTTGGAGTTTGCGTGTCTCGCTCCCTGTGGTCGCGTGGATTTTTCTCCAGGTCCTCTGGTTCCCCCCCCACCCGCCCCCACATTTAGAACTAACATGTGTTTAGAGTATTTGGCTGCAATACATTTCCACATGATTAATCACTTCGTTGAGCTATCATTTGCGATAGCCAGGTCGCTTAAAAAATAGCTATAAAGCTCAGTGGGCCTTACCTGGAAAAGAACGTTTTTGTTTGTTTAGTTTATCGCTCAGGTCTGCTTCGTAAGTGAGATACAATTCCAAACACTTCCCAGCTTCATGTCTGCCTGCAACCATGCCGCTCTCCCTCAGGATATTTCGTAAGATCGAAATATTGTAAGTCGGACCATCGTAAGTCGGGGACTACCTGTACTTGCGCAGGAAATCCAGTGACTCCACGCAAAATAAATATATTTGGTCTGTCACTTTATGTATTATAGACCTACTCCCAAGTACGAAACATCTCCCACTTCTTGCAAGACATACAACGGGTGCACCCAGTGGTGTGGATATAATAATGTCTTTTAGGATTGCAACGTTTCCGGACGGCTGCTCTGTAACACAAGGTGGTGCACTTCTAACCGGAGTTGGGATTAACTACGAACGCGGGAAATTCTTCATCTCGTGATAAACAACGGGACGCCGAAGATCGCAATCGAAATCTGGGGAAATCGTTACAATACGTAATCACGTAGTGACATCCAGGATGCAATTGAACTTCTCCCACTGCGGGGCCCCGCTCTGCCTCCCTCTCCAACTCCCACGACGCTGGTGAGTGAGCCGTCGCCGAGTGGATGGATTGTTTTGTTTTCCTTCACCCCCCTGCACCTCTGATTAGTACGGTTGGCTAGGTGTGAAAGAAGTTCGACATACGTACAGTGAGGGAAAAAAGTATTTGAAACCCTGCTGATTTTGTACGTTTGCTCACTGACAAAGAAATTAGCAGTCTATAATTTTAATGGTATGTTTACTTCAACAATGAGAGACAGAATAACAACAAAAATCCAGAAAAACGCATGTCAAAAATGCTATAAAATGATTTGCATTTTAATGAGGGAAATAAGTATTGACCCCTCTGCAAAACATGACTTAGTACTTGTTGGCAAAACCCTTGTTGGCAATCACAGAGGTCAGACGTTTCTTGTAGTTAGCCACCAGGTTTGCACACATCTTAGGAGGGATTTTGTCCCACTCCTCTTTGCAGATCTTCTCCAAGTCATTAAAGTTTCGAGGCTGACGTTTAACAACTCGAACCTTCAGCTCCCTCCACAGATTTTCTATGAGATTAAGGTCTGGAGACTGGCTAGGCCACTCCATAACCTTAATGTGCTTTTTCTTGAGCCACTCCTTTGTTGCCTTGGCCGTGTTTTGGGTCATTGTCATGCTGGAATACCCATCCATGACCCATTTTCAATGCCCTGGCTGAGGAAAGGTTCTCACCCAAGATTTGATGGTACATGGCCCCGTCCATCGTCCCTTTGATGCGGTGAAGTTGTCCTGTCCCCTTAGAAGAAAAACACCCCCAAAGCATAATATTTCCACCTCCATGTTTGACGGTGGGGATGGTGTTCTTGGGGTCATAGGCAGCATTCCTCCTCCTCTAAACACGGCGAGTTGAGTTGATGCCAAAGAGCTCCATTTTAGTCTCATCTGACCACAACACTTTCACCCAGTTGTCCTCTGAATCATTCAGATGTTCATTGGCAAACTTCAGACGGGCATGTATATGTGCTTTCTTGAGCAGGGGGACCTTGCGGGCGCTGCAGGATTTCAGTCCTTCACGGCGTAGTGTTACCAATTTTCTTGGTGACCATGGTCCCAGCTGCCTTGAGATCATTGACAAGATCCTTCCGTGTAGTTCTGGGCTGATTCCTCACTGTTCTCATGATCATTGCAACTCCACGAGGTGAGATCTTGCATGGAGCCCCAGGCCGAGGGAGATTGACAGTTCTTGTGTTTCTTCCATTTGCGAATAATCGCACCAACTGTTGTCACCTTCTCACCAAGCTGCTTGGCAATGGTCTTGTAGCCCATTCCAGCCTTGTGTAGGTCTACAATCTTGTCCCTGACATCCTTGGAGAGCTCTTTGGTCTTGGCCATGGTGGAGAGTTTGGAATCTGATTGATTGCTTCTGTGGACAGGTGTTTTTATACAGGTAACAAGCTGAGATTAGGAGCACTCCCTTTAAGAGTGTGCTCCTAATCTCAGCTCGTTACCTGTATAAAAGATACCTGGGAGCCAGAAATGTTTCTGATTGAGAGGGGGTCAAATACTTATTTCCCTCATTAAAATGCAAATCAATTTATAACATTTTTGACATGCGTTTTTCTGGATTTTGTTGTTGTTATTGTCTCACTGTTCAAATAAACCTACCATTAAAATTATAGACTGATCATTTCTTTGTCCGTGGGCAAACGTACAAAATCAGCAGGGGATCAAATACGTTTTTCCCCTCACTGTACATACAAGGGGACGAAAACACACGCTTAGAGGTCTTGAGTTCAGTATACAAGTTTTATTTCCGAATAGTGTTCCCATTGACCCAACTCTTGTCAATGCCATTCATTACAAAATAAAACAAAAATAACCCTCTATACTTATTACTGGAAGAAACAACCGTATATGTATTCTTATTGAACAATTCCAAAAAAGTCAAATGTAAAATCTCAAATACAATTCAGAAAAAACAGAAATCCCTTTACCGAAAGGTTCATTAGAAAAAAAAAAACTTTATTCGGCATGCGTCTCAGACGTTGAATTTGAAAAATTCATCCAAAAAAAAACCTCTGAATCCCTGCCCTTCATACCTTGCATAGATAACCAACAGCAGAACCATCATTATACAGCACGCCCTCCAACAAACGCAACGTTATGCTGTGTGTATCAAAGTGTTTAGCCTATAAAAATGTATTTCCAAATAAAATATATGTACACCAAATATTTTTAGGTAATTTTCTTAACGCAGAACGATAAATAACTTTTTTCTCTCATCATGATTGTTTTTTTTACAACGAGTTTGTGTTTTTATATTCTGTAATATAAACTCTTTTTGGTGCTACGAGCACACATAGCCACGCAACTTTCTCGACAGTGTTCCATTTTTTTACCAATGTCGCCTGATCGGGAGGTTTCACCTGCAGATCCTGAAGGCTCCAGTCGTTGCATTTATATATATTTAGGGTTCGGTAATGTACACTGGGGGTTGCGTGATGGTCAGAGGTCAACTCAATACATCTACTTTGTCATCTCTCCACAGTCGACGAGTAACCCACTTTGTGGGCAGTCAACTTTGGTTGAGAGACTTGTTCCTGCCATGGAAATGTATTCACCACCACTGGCTTAGGGAGGTGACGGAGATTTAGCAACGGTACTGTGCAATGTTATAAACGGATGGAAATAAATCGTTGCAGTGAAGCCTGTTTTTGTTGGTTGTTCGGCTGTTTGATTCAATTCAATAGGCTCAAATCACGAGTTGGCCAGTCATTTTTAATCAAATTTCTGGTGAACGTGTTGATGCCTCCATTTACCAACTATGGCACGATTCGCCGAGGCAGTGCACTTGCACCATACTGTAAAAAAATGCCAAGCTGGAACAAAGTGGTGATGCGCATCTCAACTGGGGGCCCAGAGCTGGTGGTGGGAACAAGTTAAGCACAAGCGTTGTTTGAGAGCCACCGAGGAGGGAGCGAGTGCTCTTACCGGTGCAACAACAGTGGTCGTGAAATGTGGCATTTGGTCACAGCTCAGTAGCATGGCTTGAAATGAAGGTTGGTAAAGCTGATGCGGGAAGGGAGGAGGGGGGCTGGGGAGGTGGTGAGCTTTAGAGGGGAGTTGGAGGAGGCGAGGTCAGGCAGCAAGTCGGAGAGAAGGGGAGGTGTGAAGGGTTGGGGGTCAACTCAACCGTTCATCTCTCCACGGTGAAGGAATTAACACTTTGTGGGAGGTCATTGCTGCTTGGTGCTCATCCTTTGCTGAAAACACGGACAATGTGGAAAGCCAGAGGTGAGGAGAAATGATATGTTCCGAGATACAGCTGGCTTCCGTATATTAGATAAATGAGAATATTAAGCTCTTTGTGAATATACTGCTTTCTTTTTTAGAATTTAATTTACCAGGTGAAGCCCATAGAGCTATTAGTTATTTTTCAGTGACGACCTAGCCACACATGATAGCTTATCGACGTGGCTTTTCACGTGGGAATTTATAGTAGCAGCCAAATAATCTAAACGCATGTTTCTAAAAGTGGAGGGCAAAACCGAAGGAACCCGGAAAAAATCCACACGACCATGGGGAGAGAACACGCAAACTCAAATTTATAGGCATCGTCAGGGTCGGGTTCGAACTCACGGCCTCCTGCGTACCAGGGGAGAGAGATAACATATCCTCTCCACTTCTGTAGGACGTTGTCCCAATGAGCAAATGCATGCTGATCGTTCCATCTGAGCAGGCTATGTACTTTTGGTTGTATTTCCTCCCTTTGGGGGGGCTTGTTTGATGCTTTCGTAGGATTGTAAAAATTTCCACTACTGGCCCTGGGGTACCAATGAACATGAGTGCAGCTCCACCACTGATTTGTGCAGGGCGACGTGGTGGTAACTTTAAACCGCTTTCCCTGGCTGCATGGCGTGGCGATTCGAGTGTTCCACTCGCAGTTATAGTGACACTAGTTGAGATCACGGTTGACAGATTTGACTCTGAACACCGTCAAACATCACCCTGGGTCCATAAAACGAGTAACACTCTGTGGGAAGTCGGCAAAAAGCAGCTGTTCTACATTGAGATTATCCACAGCTACAAGGACATGGAACTTATAGCACTGGCTCAAGACTGCCAACAGGGTGGGTGGTGGGGCCCACCTCAACGAACCTTTCAGTGTGCGAACACTTTGCAAACTAAATTACCTAATGGGTACTGGATATAGACAGTGTGTACGTTCAACACGGAGTTAAAATAGATGGCTGGAGGCAGGCCCTGCTGGATGGCACATCAATGTTGAGCCCAGGTAAATAAAGCACTGTGTAATTGCCCACGCTTCATATTGCTCCAACAGGCCTGTGGTTGGGGAAGCACTAAGTGAATATGGAGAAGAATGCACTGATCACTCTGACACAACCGCCACGAGGCCGATACGTTTCACTAGGTGCTGGCAGAATGGTGCACAGGATAAGAGGGGTAAAGTTGGCAACAGCAGATAGAAGCGTCCACATTGCCCATGCTGTTCATTCACAAACTTACTCAGATCTGCCCATCTCCTGAACCCCATCTGTCCCATTCTCCCTCTTGGCGCTCATCCACACGAACCTCCAGGGCTTGTTCGTTAATTCCCGCGGCCTCACATTTGCTCGTCGATGACAAGGTCGGAGTCGATGAAGACCATGTCTATCTCTTCGTCACACCACGTGTCCGGGTGAACAGCGGCTCCTCCCTGCGCACTCGGCACCAAGACAATCGAAGCCTGCTGCTGGGTGCCGACGACGACGCCACCACCGTCGATGCGCGTGTTACCAACGCCATCTATCGCGCCGCTGCTGTTCTTGCCGCCGCCGGCTCCACCCAAGTAGGGGGGCACGGGGGCAGCCGTGTGCGCGTTGGCGCACGAGTTGGCGGTGGCGTTGTGTGGCCGAGCGTTTGGCGCGTGGACGCTCGCGAGTGACGGAGGCGGCCGCTGCTGCAACGGGGGCTGCACGGAGACGACTCCGACCGCGCCAGCTGCTGCCGTTGCTGCGATCGTGCCAATGTTCCTGGATTCGGCGGGCGGATGAGCGTTGCCGGCGTGCACGCTGCTTGCCGAAGACGGCGGGTGGGCGGCTGTTGCCGCCGCCGCCGCCGCCGCCGCCGCCGCCGCGATCGCCGCCTGTGCGGTGGCCGTCGCCTTGCGAGCCGCCTGTCGCTGCTGCTCCTCCTGCTGGCGGTGCGACTTCATGTGCGCGTTGCGGCTCTTCACCTTGGTGAACACCCTGTGCGCGCGTAGGTTGGTCAGTCACAAGAAAAGCGCACGCGCGCACACGATCATGCGGACGGCCGTACACGTGACCGCGCATACGACCGCACCTATCCACACGCAATTGAAGGCATGCTTACACGCAACCACACTCGGACACACATGATGAAACTAGAAACTATTTTTATTTGATCAGGTAAGGCCCACTATATAGCTCTTATTCAGAAGTGGCCTGGCCACAAATGACCGCTCAGTGAAGTGGCTTATCACGCGGAAAATAATAGCAGCCAAATACTCTAAACGCATGTTTCTAAATGAGGGAAAAACCGGAGGATATGGAGAAAAATCCAGGCGACCACGGGGATTACATGCTGACTCCAAATATACAGACGTCAGGGTCGGAATAAGACCCACGACCTCCCGTATACCAGACGAGGAAGTTAACATCCCACCACCATGGTATCTCATGATCACAACAAATATGATCAAATGTATGACCACGCACATTGCACACACAAAAAGCACACGCAGACAACCACGATTCATAATTGGTTTCTGGGTCAGGTCGTGTAAGTAAAATGTGTTTCGTAAACCCTCTTCCGCCCAACACAGCCAATTAATAATGTTGTCACATGATGAACAAAAGTGCCGATGTATTGCTGCTTCAGCAGCACACCAGTGTGGTGGGGAGCAATGAAACAACATTTAACAACTGGGTATGATGTTTCGATAATAGTTAGAAGTAGCCAGAATTGTGAAAACGTCTTGACGTCTTTGGAGGGGACCATGTCCAACACACTGCTGAAGCGGTAACACATTGCCAATTTTGTTCACGTGATAACCTTATAAATTGTCTGTCGGGTGGACGAGGGTTTACGACACATGTTTTACTCACGCGATCTCACCCAAGGATCAATTATGAATCATAATATTGGTCACGAAAGTCTACGTGTTAAAAGTACACTTCCACATGTATATGCATACAAAAATCACGTGTATGCACAAAAACATGCAAACACATGCCTTACACACGTGTACACATTCACATACACACACGACCACACATACGATTACACACAAATCCACGGCATACGCACAAATACAAAAAACACACCTTACAAAATCCACACGCGCACACGCAACACACGACTGGACACTTTGCCATGGACTCGCACACTCTAAATACTTGTCTTATTCATATTCTAAAATAATTTAGTTTTACCTACGTGGCTTTACCGAAAAAAACAAAGAGTATGAATCTTTGCAGTCACGAAAGCTTCAAATCTAGAATTATTCATATTCTATGGTTATTTTGGTAAAGTCACGTAGGTAGAAAAAATAATAAAAATGAAAATAAAGTGAATATAAAACAATAAAAATATCACGACGTTTTGATCGCAACACGGTCGTCATCAGGAACAAGGAGGGTTAGCCTCTGAGGCAGGCTGTTTATAAACGTTTAGAGATGGGGGCGGGGCACCTAATGTTAATGTAGGAGAGGTCTCTAACACCGGCAGTAGGTCTACACCAATCAGAGTGCTGTTTATAAAGGTTTAGAGATGGGGCGGGGCAGCTAATGTTAATGTAGGAGAGGTCTCTGACACCGGCAGTAGGTCTACACCAATCAGAGAGCTATAGTAATAGGTTTTACCCTTTTAACTGGCACAAAAACTGACACCTTTATTCAAGGCATCATGTTTGCAATAACCACAACACAAGCAGTCAAAATGCAAACAAAAGAGACAACTGATAATAATGTGCATTGTCCTTGAATTTGATTGGTCCACATCCGAGACGGCTTTTCTTAGAGCCTAGTCTCAACTGGTGTTGGACCAGAAGACGCCAAAAGGCGTACACCTCAAAAACAGCGCACTATCAGAGTATTGAGGGCTCGGAGTGAGCATTTACATTATGAGACCTCCTTTGCCAGTAACAAGATATAGTAATAGGTTTTACCCTTTTAACTGGAACAAAAACTGACACCTTTATTCAAGGCATCATGTTTGCAATAACCACAACACAAGCAGTCAAAATGCAAACAAAAGAGACAACTCTGATAATAATGTGCATTGTCCTTGAATTTGATTGGTCCACATCCGAGACGGCTTTTCTTAGAGCCTAGTCTCAACTGGTGTTGGACCAGAAGACGCCAAAAGGCGTACACCTCAAAAACAGCGCACTATCAGAGTATTGAGGGCTCGGGGTGAGCATTTACATTATGAGACCTCCTTTGCCAGTAACAAGATATAGTAATAGGTTTTACCCTTTTACTGGCAAAGGAGGTCTCATAATGTAAATGCTCAACCCGAGCCCTCAATACTCTGATAGTGCGCTGTTTTTGAGTTGTACGCCTTTTGGCGTCTTCTGGTCCAACACCAGTTGAGACTAGGCTCTAAGAAAAGCCGTCTCGGGTGTGGACCAATCAAATGCAAGGACAATGCACATTGTTAACAGAGTTCTCTCTTTTGTTTGCATTTTGACTGCTTGTGTTGTGGTTATTGCAAACATGATGCCTTGAATAAAGGTGTCAGTTTTTGTGCCAGTTAAAAGGGTAAAACCTATTACTATATCTTGTTACTGGCAAAGGAGGTCTCATAATGTAAAATCAGAGAGCTGTTTATAAAGGGTTAGAGATGGGCGGGGCAGCTAATGTTAATGTAGGAAAGGTCTCTCACACCGGCAGTAGGTCTACACCAATCAGAGAGCTGTTTATAAAGGTTTAGAGATGGGCGGGGCAGCTAATGTTAATGTTGGAGAGGGCTGACACCGGCAGTCGGTCTACACCAATCAGAGAGCTGTTTATAAAGGTTTAGAGGTGGGCAGGGCAGCTAATGTTAATGTAGGAGAGGTCTCCGACAGCGGCGGTAGGTCTACACCAATCAGAGAGCTGTTTTATAAAGGTTTAGAGATGGGCGGGGCAGCTAATGTTAATGTAGGAGAGGTCTCCGGCACCGGCAGTCGGTCTACACCAATCAAAGAGCTCTTTGCAGTCACGAAAGTTTTAAGTCAAAACTCGTCTTATCTAAAAGGCACTTCTCATAATTGACAATGGCACCCATGTCATCCTTCAGGGCAGCATTCTCACTGGCACAGGCAGCCACTATGTGGACAGTGGAATGCCTCCCTTTACGAACGACGCGAGAGCGAGCACGTGTCGGGGTGGCCTCACGTACTTGCCGCACTCCTTGCAGGGGAAGATCTCCGTGCCGTCCTCGTCGTAGTGACACACGGCCATCGACGCCTTGGTGCGGTTCGACGACGAGGTCTTGGTGCGAGGCCCCGTGTACGCGACGGACGGCGCGGGAGGCCGGGGAGCCCTCACTGTCACCGTCATCGCCACGTGCTGCTGCTGTTGCTGCTGCTGTTGCTGCTGCTGCTTCTGCTGCTGGTGCTGCTGGTGCTGCTGCTGCTGGTGCTGCATCAAGGTCGGTAGCCTGGGCCCACCAAGGTGCGTGGCCGCGTGTACGGGGGATAGCCGGGGCTGCGCCGTTGCCGAGGGGGGCACGGTGTTGGAGGGGGGCACGGGCGTGGGGTGCTGGGCCCGTTCTGCCGGGGCCGGCGGCTGCGGTGGTGCTGGGTTGGGCAGCCGTATTAGGGGCCCACGGAAGGGAGGGGGTGGCGGTATGGCGGGCGGCCCGGGTTTGGCGAGGCCGGTGCGGAACGCCAGGTCGATGCCACCGTGCACACGAGCGTGGCCGTTGAGCGCCTGCTTGGATGGAAAGATCTGGGGAAGAGAGGGCATCCGGCAGTGTGAGCAGACTCCTGGTGCTGTTTGTGCTCGTGTGTAGCGGGTAGCACGGCGGTTAGCACGCTGCTCTCCGATCCCCGGCGATCGTAGCGCAGCGTGACGAATATCTGAACCGGTCCTAGGCCTCCCCTTGGTCGACTCAGCCTTAAATGAGTACCTGGTACGGTGTGTAAATATCACCACTGTGGAGACAAAAGCGACCGAGTGTGGCGTTTCGCACACAACAATGCCCTCATGTGCCATGCCGGCCATAATTATGTGCCCATTAACACCACTTGCCCCAACAGCTTGTGCAAGCTAAATGTAGGATCTTTGTGTGTGTCATAAAGTGTGCTTCTGGGCACTACAGCAGCAGAAAACTCCGGCCTCACACTTGCTTCTTTTGACTAGTGCCGGCCCGCGACAGCGACCCCCTGAGGAAGGTAGCCAGGCTATACAGACCACTACCAACACTCATCAGGATAAGCAAGTGTCAGGCCGGCATTTTCCGTAGCAGCCAGAAGTACGATTATTACATGTGGCGATGAACGTATGTTGAACTTCTTTCACACCGTACGTAGCCAACCGTGCGGGGGAAGTGCAACAAACCAATCACGCGCCACGTCCCCCACCCGCTATTTTCATGAACGCGTGTGTACACGCAGAGCGCACACGCGCATCGTCTGCATTTCTCACCGCCCCACAGCGTGGCACGTCGCAGGTGAACGTCGTGGCGGCAGCGGCAGGAGGGGGAGGCGGCGGCAGAGGGTTTGCGGCCACCGAGGACCGGGAGCCCCGGTGCGAAGCCATCACCTCCCCTTCCTCCTCCTCCTCTTCCATCACCGACGACGACGACGTGGGAGAGGACAGCGACGGAGAGGGGGACGAGGACCGCCCAGGGTCGTAGCCGCTGCTCTCCAGCTCGTCCTGAAATGACGAGCGAAGCCGCGGCGGTTTTTTGACGTCGCACTTTTCGCGTCGGCGAACACCAGGGGGGGGGGGGGGGGGCCAGGGGAACCTCTACGACCGCTGGTGGACCATATCCGTGACTTCGATTCACCTTGCCATACATAGCAGGGGTCACCAAAAAGATTTCCAAAATCATAAGCAAACACAAGATCAAGGTTTGATTTAACACAGTACGTATAATTCGTGATCTGATCCCATCCGTGAAGGATGTGATCCCTGACATGCAATACCCCGGTGTCTACAAACTAAGTTGTGTCTGCGGCAGTAGTTACATTGGGGAAACTAAGCGACATGTCTCGGACCGTGTTCATGAACATAAGGCAGATCTGAAACACGGTAGGACCAATACCTCAGCCGTGGCTGATTATTGTTTTAATGTGGTGGGCTCACATGAAATACATTTATCTAAGATGAAAGTACTTTGCAAACCCACTGGCTATCAACAAAGATTCGTTCATGAAGCCATCCATATATACAGACACAATTTCAACCAAGAAGATGGGTACAAACTGAGCAATCATTGGAAGTACGTTATCAACCACTTTAAGTCATAACTGGCTGTGATGTTCCCATTCTACCACCTTCCAATGTTAGTTGTTATTTTTGGCTCTCCGATTTACATTAACATGCTAATATCTCACATTAGCATAGCAACCTCAGCACGCTCGCCGTGGAGGCCGCTTACCGATTTTACATCAACATGTTCATTTTTACCTGGCAGCCCTTCAATTGGAGGAAAACCCACCACCATCGCGGTCGCCGCCCACCACTCACATTAACATTAGCTGCCCCGCCCATGCTGCTGACATTTGGGCTACGCCTATTTCAAACCTTTAGAAACAGTTTGCCGTTAGAAGCAAACCCACTTTTCCTGATGACGACCGCTTGTGTTGCGATCGAAACGTCGTAGTTTTTTTAAAATTTTCTTTGAACCTATCTTCGTGATTTTATCGAAAGATCCAAAGAATATATAGTTCTGAGCACACAGTCCCAGTGTGATCAACGTTTCAACTAAAGTGTGGTTGATCAAAGGTTTGAATTATGAGGTTCCCCCCAGTCAAAATGACTCCCTGCTCAAGAGGAGGTGCGGCGCTGCTCATCTATGTTTTCATCAGTTGGGCTAGTTGTAGAAATTCCACGATCCCATGACGGGCCCCACCGATGAGAATTCCACTGCTGTGCTGCCAATTGATTGTCATTTCCCCAAATGTACATCGGTATTCTCTTTATACTCGGGTTGCCGCCCACATTGGCCAAACATCCCAAAGCAGGAATTTCCTAAAAAAGTATCTTGGGACTCAGTGAGGCTTTCCTGGCAAAGGAAACGGCATTGGCATTGTCATTATGATTGTTAATATTTTACATGCCCACCCATCAATCTGGCAGTTTTTAGACTGTACCGTGTTATGAACCTGATGACCCAAGTACGAGTCCTGGCCCCCGGCTAACATCAGTGGTAAGTGAACTGGTCCTGGGCTCTCTCCCCTTCACCAACCCCGCACTGACGTGTGCAGTGAAGTCCCATCGAACAACTCCCAACGATCGACGCAGGGCATAGGAGGCATTCGCTCGGCAGGCAACTTACAAAGCGCTGAAAACCATCGAGGTATTTATACTCCTCTAACCGTACACAAGCGCAAACAAACCAAGCCCACCGCTCACCAGGTCGCCGGGGCGCATGCCGCAGAGCCGCGTGTGGTGTCGTCGGAACTTGATCACCTTCTTCCAGGTGTAGTAGTACTCGACGCACTGTGCCACCGTCTTGTTCTTAATCTGGAGGCAATGAGCGTGGCGCGCACGTGCCGTTAAGAGCAGCAGCGCGCACACAGCTAGCGTGCTGGAGATCGGGGGGGGACATATGTTTGATACGTTTTGTCTATGTTTTATGCGTGTAGTTTCTTCTATTCTATTTTGTATTTATAAAGCGCCTTTCACCAAAGTGCTTAACAATGCTTGTTGACTAAAGCACAAAATGGAAAGATAAGGGATGGAGGATCGGGTAGTGACTAGGCTGGAGGGAGCGAGGTGGAGGCTACAGCAGGAGGCATTAAGGGCATTAGGTGGTGCTGGTAGGGGTAGCGGAAGAGGAGGGGGAAAGGCAAGCGAAAAGAGATAGCACCTGAGGGCAGTGCGAAAAGAGGAAAGTGAGGGGGAGTCGCTTGTAGAAGAGTATGTTTAGACCAGCCGAAAAACAAACCAAGGGCCCCTTTCTCCTGACACGAGTGTTGTAATATCAAGATTATAATCTGATCAGTCTATGAAGACCGCTAAAATGTAATTTTTTCTACGTAGAAAAATATGCAGATGTCATTCAGTCATTCGTACATGATTCAGGCATCGAATCACGTGTGCCAAAATAAATTTACGTTTCGGTAAATTATATGAAATGAGTTCAAAAGCCAGATTCTGGAATAAAATCTAAACTCAAAAGTGATACAATTCATCGGGTCACTAGGGGGTTAAATCTTCCCATGCCCAACTATAAATATTACTGTTGATGAAGAAAACCCAAGCACCTATTTGCTATTCACCACAGTTCATCAAGGGAGTTCATAGCTAAACGACATGTTCCAGCCCTAACAGATTACACTACATTTTAGTGTCCTGTTTAAAGGCTTTCAGACGTACCACCACCTCCAATTAGCACGATTTGGCTACGTACACGGTGTTAAAGAAGTTATACATACAACAGGGGACATGGAACGCTACAGCAGGCGAGCAGACACAAGCGCGCACCTTCTTGTGCACCAGGATGAAGTCCTTGTTGTGAGCAGCGATTGCCTTGTAAAAGAGCTTCTTCTCCAGTGGCGTCCAGTTGTCCGACCCTGCAAGTGGTGCGAGGTGATAATCAATGACGCATTTCATGAGCAGCCAGCACAATAAGTTAACATTGGCTGTGCTATTAAAGAGAGATGAACCCCACGATGCGGATTTGGCTCAGGGCTGTCAGGCTGCATGTAGGCACTGCCTCGAACTCCTAGCATGGAGACACTTGATGACTTGAACCTGTTTGTAATGCGATGATATACACTGTGTGTTTGTGGATAGGCAGGACTAGGTGTCGCTACAACGATTAAATTACTTTATTGTAATCCAGTCATCTCGCACATGATATATTGTCGTCCCCACCCCCGCATCTCCAATTAGCATGATTGGCTACAGCCCGCACGAAAGAAGTTCAACATACATACACAAAACGGCACTCCAGTATTCTGTATTGCGATGGTGAATGCCACTGCTTTATATTGATAGATGGGCAAAGGCGGTGCCGGGGCGATGGCAGCACTTGACTTGCAATCAGGTTGCGAGTTAAATCCTCGTTGGGAGTCAACTCGACCCATCATCTCTCTGTAGAGATAAATTGAGGACCACTGTGTGGAAAGCAGCGGTTGATCTTCGAGAGAGCCTGGTCCCCACCGTAGGAATGTTGAATTTCCACCGCTGGTTCAAGGACCCCCCCCAACACTCGTTTGCAGCTGGGAAACGACACTGTACATTACTCTTAGGAATGTTACGGTGATGCATCAATGCATCTGTTTAAGAGCGATCCTAATGCTCATGGTACAAGTAGATTATTAGCAATTTGTGCAAATTACATGCAAACGACACAATGTGATCCATACACTTAGGCTAACTGAACTACAAAAACTATAAACACGTGAAAAAATAAACCCTCAGTGAGACAATGAAATAATGGAAAGAATTAATAAAATCTTGATTGAAATTGCGACCAGGAATCGTGAAAATCTATTTAAATGCTGGGGTATTCACTGTTAAATGCCTAATAAATGTAACATGACCAAAAGTCTAACGTGGCAGTGTTTTGTACCGAGTATGAACATATTAAGCTGTGGGCAGCCCGTAGATCTACATGGCAGTAATTGTTTCATAATAGCTTTCATGCAGTGATACCCAGCGATCTTCATATGAAGCATTCTGCACCTTCATGCCGTCAAAGAAAAGACGCACAAATGTATTTACGCTGAACTTCTTTCATACCGTACGTAGCGAACCGTGCTCAACGGAGGTGCGGTGGAGGGGGGGGACAAGAAAACAATCCATCCAGGCAGTGACGACTCGCTCACCAGCGTAGTGGTAGTTGGAGAGAGGGTCAGAGGGAGGCAGAGTGGGGCCGCGCAGCAGGAGAAGTTCCATTGCAGCCTAGACACGTGCACACGCATGGCACACGCATGGCACACGCGGAGGAGGAGGTGACACGCGCAACCGTTACAGCAGAGGTGGGGGAGCTGACAGCTTCATTTTATACAGCCTGTGGCCACGTGGGGCTTACCACTTTTAAATGGCCCACAAGCGACATTAATCGGTCACTGCAAGCAAATTAAGCTTGATCGGACAGTAGAGGGGAATAGTTTCGGTGTGGTAACACTGCGTTTCTCATTTTAGCACGCTCAGTTATTTCTGTGGGCCAAATACACCTCAAATCTTCATTTTATATGGCCCGTGGCCATACGAGGCCGACTACTTACTAACGACCCACAATCGGTACTTATCCTTTACTGAAATAATCTTAGTCACTCTGATTGGGCATTAGAAGGGACTACTTTCTATCTGGCAAGGACCTCTTGAGGTGGCAGAAGTGCGACTGCGGTGCGTTGTAATGTTGCTCACCCAAAGGTTTTATTAAAGTCATATTATGCCTTTCCCTACCCCTGCATTATACGCTGCTGTGGGGAAAGTGTGTTAAACCCCCTGGCCTAACACCGGCAATACAATTTGCATTCGACTCAATTTATCGTGAATGAAAGACGCAACCCAAAAAAACAAAGAGATGCTGTCTTGTAGATACACACCTAGGCTGTGTCACGCAATGTCCAACAGGCGTTTGAAGATTCATAAATGAGAAAAAAGAAGTCGAAAGTTAAAGCCACGTTGACCCTCAGACTCACTGCAGCCAGCGCCGTCTAGTGGCGACACAGCCACGCTGGAGCCCCCTCACCTCCACCCAGGAGGTGGTGGCCCCTGACCCCGGCTACGTCCATGACAGGTGGTGGTGCATGCTGGAAGCCTCCCCCAGTTAGTCTAACGGAGCCCAGCGCATGCCGGGAGATTTGAAGCCCGTTATGGTGGCAACGGCCTTGCAGCCCAGAGCCAGGATGAGAGGCAAAGCATTCGGTTTCTTTGTTAACGCAAGAAGGCTTTTACTGCCGTGTTTTGGCGAGGCATCACCAGCCTTGGTGCAAATAACAAAAAATAAGGCCTCCTGTCCAATGTCACTCCTCCTTACAACCACGAACTTCTCTGGCTCGAGGGCCCCGGTTGCAGTTTCACTGCCTGCACACTTGATAGCTAAGCCACTCACCAAATATTATTTTGGTTTGGGTCTTCCTTTCAGGAGACTGGGACACTGATTCTCCCCGATTAATCGGTTGTCTATGGGCTGTGTGTGGAGGAGGTGGGGAGTGGTAGTGTAGTGGTTAGCAAGCTATTCTACGAACACATTGATCCGAATTCGATTCTGGCTCAAGGCCACCAGTGACGATTATCTGAATACGTTCTGGGATTCCCCTAGGTCGACTCAGTCTCAAATGAATACCTGGTGCGATGTGTAAACATCGCCGCTTGAGAGACAAAGGCAGCCGGGCATGGTGCTGGCCACCCACCCCCTTTTCTGCCGTGCCGGCCTTCATAAGTGCTCGCAAACAGAACTTGCGCCAACAGTATGTTAAAGGCTATATTATGGGGGACCTTTGTACTTTCACTCCGTACGTAGCCAACCGTGCTAAATCGGAGTTATGAGGCGGGCACTGTGTGTGTGTGGGGGGAGTACGCAGCGGGGACATGAGGAGGAGGGGGGGAGAGAGGAGGAGCCGCACCATGACATCTCCACGGGTGCGGTGTAGGCAGTGCAGCGCCAGCTCGCGATTGGTCCCACCACCTGGCAGGGCGCTGGAGCACGCGAGGTTCAGCACCTGCTCCACTGCAGCACACATAGACAAAGACCCCCCCCCCATGTAGCCTTAATAGACTAAATCTTGACTTAAAGCTTTCGTGACTGCAGGAATTCATATTCGTTGGGTCTTTCGGTAGAGTCACGTAGATAGGTTCAAAGAAAATAACAAGAAACTCCGACGTTTCGATCGCAACACAAGCGGTCGTCTTCAGGAACCTATCGATGTGACTTTACCGAAAGACCCAAAGAATACCTTAACAGACTGTTGGGGCAAATGTTGTTAGCAAGCACCTATGAAGGCCAACACAGCGCAAGAGAGGCTGGACGCCAGCACCACGTCCGACCCACCTTTGTCTCCCGAGTGGTGATGTTCTTACACACCGTGACAAGTACACATTTGAGGCCGAGTCGACCGAGGGGAGGCCTAGGACTGGTTCAGATAATCACCACTGGTGTTGCCCGTGAACGGGGATCAAACTCGGGTTACCAGATTTGTAGCGCAGTGCGCCAACTGCTACACTGCCGCTCCCCACACACGTGTGCACGCACACATCAGCACAATCATCCACACCAATACAATAATAGATACGCAATTATACAAGCATACATAGGAGCCGAACAAAGATACAGGCACACACGCGCATAACAACTACAACAGCTGCCATTTGTCACTGAGTAACGGTGACGTCACCACAGTGCACTTTTAAGCCACGTGAAGTGTCGATGGCATCCTTTGACACTTCATGCGCGTACACACTCCCTCGCACATGCCAGTACTTACGCACAAATGAGCATATATGCACCAACTTGCACACAAGCATACACATGTACAAAGGACAATGTTACCCCCATATAGCCTTATTGGCTGTGAAAGCCAAGTGCCGTTAGTGAGCACTTATTAAGGCTTGCACACAATGGGGTTGAGATATGGCCAGCTCCGGACCCAAAGAACTTTGTCACACCCCAGTGCATGTTTACACAGCATTGAAAGCTGAGTCAGCTAAGGTGAGGTTCAGGATGGGTTTAGACAAACCATTCGCCACAAACCTCAGCACCATTGCTCCATATTCACAACCAAACGTGCACACAACGCCACGTACCTTAGCATACAAGCAAACACAAAAACAATGATTCCCCGCGTAGCCTTTAACAGACTGTTGGGGCAAGTGCTGTTAGTGAGCACCTACAAAAAGCCCAGCACGGCACAAGAGGCGTGGGTGGCCAACACAACGCCCAGCCGCCTTTGTCTCTCCAATGCTGAGGCTGAGTCGACCTACCCAGGACTGATTCAGAGAACCATCACTGGTGGTGGCCTTGAGCAGGAATCGAACCCGGGCTGCCAGGTTCGAAGCACAGCCTGCTAACCACTGCTCCACCGTTCCCCCATACATGAACAAAAAGACAAAGATCCCCCGTATAGCCTTTAACAGACTGTTGGGACAAGTGCTGTAAGAGAGCACCTACGAAGGCCGGCATGGACCATGAGGGCGAGTGGCCAGCACCAAGCCCGGCCGCCTTTGCCTCCCGAGTGGCGATGATTTTATACACCGTACCAGGTACTCATTTGAGGCTGAGTCGACCTACAGGAAGCCCAGGAGCGGATCAGGTAATCGTCACTGGTGTTGGCTGTGAGCGGGAATCGAGCTCGCGTCGCTGGGTTCGTAGCAAGGCGTGCCAACTGCTACACTACCGCTCCCCACTACAAGAACCAACACGAACACACGGGGGCTCCAGCCGGATCGAGTGCTCAGACTGCACGAGTCAGCCCAGGGAACCACCCGGGCAGCAAGCGAGCGAGCACCCATCCTCGCAGCAAGCACCCATCCTCGCAGCAAGCACCCATCCTCGCAGCAAGCACCCATCCTCGCAGCAAGCACCCATCCTCGCAGCAAGCAGCAGTCACCTTGGGCCATCGTGTCGGGCTTGGCGAGGTCGGGCCACGGCTGCCACACCATGTGGGCGGGGTGCTTGTCCTTCTCCACGAGCCGCTTATCACGAAGATGGGGGATGTCGGCCTGGAACGCGGGCCCGATGTTTATATGACTGCACACAAAGACAAAGATCACCCGTATAGCCTTAACAGACTGTTGGGGCAAGTGCTGTTAGCGAGTAGTACCTATGAACGCCGGCACGGTACACGAGGGGGTGTTTTTACGCACCACACCAGGTTCTCATTTGAAGCCGAGTCAACCTCGGTGGAGGTTCAGGACCAGTTCAGATAATCGTCACTTGTGTTGGCCGTGAGCAGGAATCGTACTCGGGTTGCCAGGTTTGTATCGCGGCGCGCTAACCGCTACATCACCGCAAACCTCTACATACACGAAACAGAGATCCATACACTAGTTCTTCAAAGACTGTTGGGGAAAATATTTTTGTGAGAACGAATTAACAACCATAGTTTGGTCAGTCTCATGATCTCGTGTCAGTTCTTCCCCTTCCACGCGGCCTTGCTGTGCAACAATGTGTGTGTGCTTGTGTGTGCTTGCTAAACAGGTGCGGCACGGGCTAGAGAAGAGATGGAGTGATGTGGTACAGGAGGACGTGGAGCTGAGTGGACTTGTCGATGACCGGTACCAGCGGTGTTAAGATCGGCCTCTGTGGAAGAGGCTCGTGAAGGACGCTACTGGGCAGTTGTAGGCAGTCGCCCTCCAACAACAACGGAGGGCGGAAGAGCGACTCTCACAACAACGAGCAGAGCGCCGGGTGGCTAAAGCACAGGAGGTTGGCAAAGTAGGGGGCACAGGTGGTGCATCAGCCAGTCATCTCAGTCAGTCGACCCGTGGCACTTGGGTCTGCCCCATGACCTCCTGCCAGCAGGCGTCCGACACTTCACGTGGCCTCAAAGGTGCACATGGCCTGGCACAAGCGTCGTGGTGACGTCACCGCCACTTAGTGGCGAATGGCGGTTGTTGTTGCTTGCGTGTGTGCATGTGCTCACGGGGTGTGTGCGCTCAAGTGTCTGTGTGTGCGCCTGTCTGTGTGAGCGAGCCGATACGTTGGTGTGCACATGCGCATACATGTGTGTGTGTGTATGGAGGTCTGTTCTCGTTTTGTCCGAGTGCATGTTTAACTCACGGCTCAATCTGCATCTCTTCCCCTGCAGATGTGACCGCACTGCTTGTCTCTGCACTCACTGCAAGGCCAGACGACGCCACAAAGACACCTCACTTAGCCTCATTGACGATACGGGCACTTGTATGTACATGGCCTATGAATCACACAGCAAGTTGCTGGGATCGTAGCACAGGAGGTGAACGACTCTGTCACTCGTCCCCAAGTGTAAGCAAACACACACAAACACAAATATTAAACAAATTAGAATATAAAATTTGACAGACTGTTTGGTACACATGGTATGGCCAACAACACCACCCCTGGCAAGCTTCGTCTCCCCAATGCTGATGTTTACACACCCCACACAAGGTATTCGTTTAAGGCTGAGGTGGATCAATAGCGGGTCAATGACAAGTACAGACATCACTCGTCACTGATGCTAGCCATGGCAGGGAATGAAATTAAGAGTGTTAAGTTTAGGGTGCAGTGAGTGAACTACTCCGTGGCCAAGTGTGCCACTATTTCCCAGAAACAGTCTTCTAATCACTCATATGCGTACTAACGCATGCAACGAATGAGACACACTCGCACAGCAAACACCCCCGGCACAAATAGCGCAGGGGTGGGGAAATGTTTCCCATGTGGTCCACGAGTAGTACAACATTGAGGGCGCCACGGTGGCGAGATGTTAACTACCTCGCCTGGTATACAGGAGGTTGTGGGTTAAATCTCGACCCCGTCGCCTGTATATTTGGAGTTTGCATGTCTCTCTCCCTGTGGTCGATGGCTTTTTCTCTGGGTCCGCCGGTTTTTCCCTCCACATTTATAAACATGCGTTTAGAGCATTTGGCTGCTATAAATTTCCCCGTGATAAGCCACATCCGTTGAGCTATCATTTCTGGCCAGGTCGCCTTTGCAAAAAAAGATCTATACAGCTCAGTGGGTCTTACCTGGTAAAATGAAATAAAAATAGTTAAAAAAAAAGAATTGTAAATCAAACAGCGGGCCGCATGTGGCCTGCAGGGGCCCCATAGCTTCTCAAAAGTGCCGCGCGACCAATCGCCAACGGCAACCGGTGCGGCGCGTCGCGGCCACCTCACCGGTGCGGTTGAGCAGCGTGCGCGGCGTGGTGAACGCTGGCGTGGCGGCGCCGCTGGCCGGAGCCCCGGCCGCCGACAGCACCGTGCTGAAGTAGAGGCCCGTGCCGTGGCGGATGGGGCTGAGCATGGGCGGCGGTGTGTAGGGCGGCACCGCGGCGTCGGCCGCCAGCGCGCGCGGCGATCGCAGCTGGCTCTGGTAGAGTGTGGCACCCGGGTAGGACTGCGACACCAGCAGGGGTCCCGGCGGAGGGATGATGAGCGGGTCGGGGCGATGCCGGTACTTCCACTTGCCCGGCACAGAGTGCTTGCGTGTGACCTCTTGCCGCGACGATGGACGCTGTGGGAACGACATTGAGGCGGCTGGCTTGAGCACGGAACGTTGGCTTCCCCGATGTCCGTGTGTTGTGTGTGTTGTGTGTGTATGCCAAAGCACACAAATTCCACGATTTGATTAAACATAAAGATTAATTCTTGTACTCTCTCCAATTGTATACTACTGTCTTGGCCTAAAGAAAACATTTGCGTACATTTTAACTAATTCTTACACGCACAATTTTGTGCACGTACCTGAAATGGTAAGAACCATTTGTAAGTGATGAATTGTTAGGTGCCCAGCAGGCGCGTAAACAATGCATCGCTTCATCATCGACTGGAATTCATTCTTCCACACATGATACATGCACAACATTGTACGAGTATCAGTTATTAATTAACAATTAATGTAACGGTTTCATGTGATCCCTGCTGTGATTACAGGCTAGTACATTAATCGATTCTTTAATCTTGACATTTCACTGCATCACATGGGGGGGGAGGGGGCACATGTTTTCTGGTTTTTATTCGACATGAGCTCTCAATTACTTAATAAACCCTCAATTGTCAATTGGACCTTTTTCATTGTTTTAAGCTGTTAAGCAGTTGGAGATTTCAACATCTCGCTAAACCCTGCAGGAAGGCAGCCCTTGAAAACCTCAGTTGTGTGCCCCGGGCCTAGTGTGTATGCTCACATGCTCTGTCTTCGTGTGCGGGTGTACAGCTTACACGTACACAATTGTACGCAAACACACATCTGCATTTAGTTGTCTGCGTGTGTGGTGTGTGTATCTGGATGCCCAAGCACCTGCTGTTTGGATGGAAAGAGGGGGCTAAAATGGATGCGGCACGAGCTTCAGAAGAGATAGACTGATGTGGTACAAAAGTATGATAGAACGATGTGGTACAGAAGTATGCGGATCTGATTGAACTTGCTGATAACCTGTCCTAGTGTTATCAACATCTGTGGAGAAGGCTCGTGAAGAATGCCCTTGGGCAGTTAGAGGCAGTCGCCCTCCAACAACGGAGAGCAGAGGAGTGACACTCACAACAATGAACAGAGCGCTGGGCAGCTAAAGTGCTGCAAAGTTGGTGCATCTGCCAATTATCTCAGTCAAACGAAAACACTAGGGCCTATCCCGTGACCGCCTGCCAACGAGCATTTTACTCTTCACTTGGCCTCAAGGTGCACCTCGCCTGGCAAAAGTACCGTGGTGATGTCACCGCCGCTGAGTGGCGAACGGCGGTGGATGTTGTTGTGCGTGTGTGCATGCGTGCACTGGCATGCACAGCATGCACATCTATGCGTGCGCGCGCTCTTGCCGTGCGCGCGAGCTGTGCGGCACGCACGTGCGGCGTGTCCGCGAGGACCGTGGGCGGCGTCACGGCCGGCAGGGTCGGCGGGGCGAGCGTGGGAGGCGGCGGAGTCTTGGCGGGGCCCGCCTCGGAGACGCGCTGCAGCACAGGCATGCGGTCATCCGGCGCAACACCCTCGCCGGACAGCGGGCGCACAGGCACCGACGACACGGGCACCGACACGGGCATGACGAACGGTGCCGGATCGCCCTGCTGCTCGTCCGGGTCCTGCTCGTTCCGGACGACAATAAATTGTCCCAATCATCACCACCAGCGCCGCCGTCGTTGGCATTATTTTGTAAAATCATCACCGTAAACAGGAGGCTGTAACCACAGCACCACACAGAAATACTATATATGTGTCTGCCCAGTGCAGGGTTAGGGATCCTAAGGCCTGCACCAGCCAACATGAGGCTGCCCACTTTGAAAGGGCCCACTAATGTAGTTTGTGGGATTAACACCGTAGTAATGTACCTGCAGCAGTTCTGTGAAATGCTTCCCAGGCTGGGAAACCTAGAGGCTGATCTCTAACACTGGGTATGAGGCTGCCTGGTGCAAATATTTCCAAATAAAGATTATCTTGTAATGAGGCCAATCGTAAAATTGTAATGTTATTATTTTTGTTTACAAACGTGAAGAAACAAAAAAGGCAATGTATGCCACACTTTTGACAGTCACACACCCCCACACCCAATGACTTAAACGAAAAAAATCAACGCCATCATATGAAAAAGTGGTTCTTTACTTAATTTAGAATATTTCAGCACTGAATTAAACATTGCTGGTTTAAAACCCAGGGGATGCACAGCTCTATATCAGGGCATGTCACAATGTGGAAGAGGCAATTGAAGGGACCTCGCTATTGATGTTGACCCCCCCCCCCATCCCCCCCTTCCCACCTCATTCTCCCTCCCTCACCCCCGCCCAGCAGTACTTACCCGGAAAAAGGGCACGTCCTCAGATCGAACGTCGGCATCCAGGCTTCCCGACAACGGAGTGGTCATTGAGTGCTCCAAGGCATGTTGGGATAGCTCTGGTGGGCATGGCTCACTTGCTGGCTTGTCTGCCTGCATACTTGCTGGCACCGGCCTGCATACAAGCAGAGTGCAACTTTGCATAAAGGACAACCGAAGGGTCCCCGGGTTAAATCGGGGCGGTTCCCATTTAGTAAGCCAGACATGGAAGGACGCTATTTCGGTAACTGCATTAAACAGAACCCAGTGATTGTTTTTTTCGTTTCATGTTCCTTTCAAGACTATTGTAAGAGTACCATGGACTCCCGCGCGCACGCACACACACACACACGCGGACTCCTACCGTTGCTCGCTGCTGTGCGTGGGTGGCTGGGGCCCCAGTGCAGCCATTCCAACAGGAAGGCCAGCTCCGATCACCGTCACCACCGCCTGCTGCTGCTGTTCCCGTGCCTGCTGCTGCGCCAAAGCTGCTGCTGCTGTGGCCCCTGCGAGCACCGCCTGCTGCGTTCCATCAGTCAGCTGCGCCAGTCTGTTGCCGCTGTGCTGCAACTGCAAATGCTGTTGCTGCTCTTGCTGCTGCAGCTGTTGCTGTAGCTGCTGTTGTTGCAGCTGCTGTTGCTGCAGATGCTGTTGCTGCAGCTGTAGTTGTATCTGTTGCTGCTGCATTAACTGGATTTGGTACGGATGTTTTTGGTTAATCGGGTTGTGCTTAAATTGCTGTTGCAGTTGTAGCTGATGCAACTGCTGTTGCGACAAAGACATGCCTTGCTGTTGTTGCTGCTGCTGTTGCTGTTGCATGGCATGTGACTGCAGCTGTGGCTGCATGTCAGCAGTCTGTTGCACTTGCAAGTTGCTGTTCCTCAACTGCTGTTGTAGCAGATACAGCCCGGCCAGATGTTGCTGCTGCTGCATTTGCTCTTGTAAACGTTGTTGCTGCTGCTGCTGTTGCTGCTGCTGCTGTTGCTGCTGCTGCTGCTGTTGCTGCTGCTGCTCCTGCTGCTGCATTTGCTGCTGCTGCCGCTGCAGCAATTGCCGTTGCTGCATCTCTATCTGAATTTGCTGCTGTTGCTGCTGAGTGCTCACTTGTGTGGGCTGTTCAGGTTTTACCACCAAAAGGTGTCTCAGAGTGCTGCCCTGGAGGGTGGCCTGTTGTTGTTGTTGCTGCTGCTGCTGCTGCACTTGAGAGGGTGGCGGTTGCAATCTCTGCGCAAATGTCTGCGTGAAGGAGTTCAAGTCATGCAAGGCTCCAGATGCCGCCCTCTGCTGCTGCTGCTGTTGCTGCTGCTGCTGTTGCTGCACCTGCTGCTGCTTTTGTGGCTGCTGTTGTTGTGGTTGCTGCTGCCGCTCATGCACAGTGCCCTGCTGCTGCTCCACACCGTATCCGCCGTACTGCATGCCCACGTAGCCCACGTAGGCGCCCACGCTGTTGGGCCACTCGCCCAACGACATGCCGGCGTCCGCTGGCGCCGCTGCCTGGCCCCCATGGTTGACGGTGTGCGGGAGGCTCGCCGGTCGTGGCGGCGGGTCTATACCGGTGCCTCGGTGTGGCGGCAGCAGCGGCGGCTGGAGGGCGGATGGCTGCTTGCCTGCGGGACCCGACACTCCGACCGCCGCGCCCGCCACTTGCGCCTCGGTGGCGACGCCGGCAGCGTTGGCGGCGGCGTCGACGGCGAACGCGCTGCCATACAGGTGCGAGTGTGGGGCGCCTGGAGGCTTCCCGCCATCCCGCGAGTGCTCCTCCATGTCTCGCTCGTGCGCTCCCAGCCGCGGTAACCGCAATTTGGCTCAGGTCAAATAAATAAAACGCATGGGAGGAACTAAACGGCTACGGTGATCGGGGGTGAGTGTGGGCACAGCGTCATCAGGAATGTGCAAGAGGAATAATCGCGTCGGGGGCGGTTTTTTGTCGACACTGCCGTTGCTCCGAATCAATGACAAAACCAAACGTCGGGTCCCTGAGACATGAAAGCTCGAGTGCGTCTCGTGAATTGCCACTTGTAGTATTTCACTGTCGAAAAATAACACCGCAAAATGTATTAAACTATCGCTCTATTTTTATGGAGGTTGTCAGGCCTTACCGCCAACCAAACCTGCATTGTATTTGGAGGGACTTCGATATATATCCGTCTTCCCACTTGTGAGCGTGTCTCTGTGCGTATTTGGGGTCTTCTCTCCCCCCCGTTCCCGTGCTGCGATGGAGTGGGTCACATTGCGGGGACGGACGCGATGGCGACACTAGTCCAATCAGGGCCCAGGTCTCTCATCTTCCTCTGCGGCCTGCAAGACATAATATCAAAACCGTGTAAAGCTCTCTCCCAACACATCCGGGGCTGTGTTTCTTTTAGTGTTTCCACATTACAATGCATGGCATAACATTCCATTAAGGTGAGACAGAGGGAAAGATCGCTTCCGATTTTTATAAGCTCAGGTCCGGCACCTCTATAGCTACATCCATGAGTTTACAAGTGGCATGTGGTGTACGGGTTCGAGTGACCCTTTATGAAGGATGTGTTTCTGTATGGTCTCCCTATATCCATTAAACGTTTTTTTATTCCCTGCACAATTAGCATGAGGCAGTGCTCATATCTGTTGGTGGCAAGCAGAGAAAATATAAAATGCCTATGCCAGGGTCCAATATATCCATAATCTATCACATTAACTTAGCTACTTCAATGCTAAATTATTCTGTTGATACGTAAACTCCTTTGTCAAGGTACTCTGCTCCTCCCACCCAGCTTAAAAAGACGCTGCCAAGCTTAGCAGTGTTCATTGGAAAGCTGTCTTCCCAACAGTTCTGTTTCTTCACCTGAAGACGGCTGCTTGTGTTGTGGCCGAAACGTCGTGATCATTTTATTTGATTATGTTTTATTTATTTTATTTTATTATTTCCCTTCTACGTGACTTTACCGAAAGAGGTTAAGCACTTTTCACTTGCCACAAAGTGGTACTCATTTCATGGAAATTTAGAGGGTTTGATGAGATGAACCAACTCCTGATTGGAATTTAAACTTAGCTACTTGGCTTGAAATGTTGTACCACTTCCAGTAAGATTGCAATATTTCAGAATAGCGTCTATATCTATTCAAAGGCTTTTATGGGGGGAAGTGAAAGTCTGAGCTCTCTGTGTGTGTGTGTGTGAATAGGATGTTGTTTGAACGGAACCTGTTGTGTCCAGTCCCTAAAAAAAAAAACGAGTGAAGTTTAAAAATAGACGTGTCAACTGAAGTCTCCAGCTCCAGGAGCTGCTCTTTAACAAGTTAAATGGAAAATACAACTTCTGGGCTTTTGGGTAACAGTGCACGAGGAAGACGCAATGAATTTGACAGCAGGATATAGGGTAGCCCACATGGACGTTCTGATGCCATGTGACAATGCGTTGTCGATGTCATGATAGGAAAAGGAGGTCACGACGAACGGCGGCAGCTGATAAGGCACGGGAACTCAAGTGGCATCCAGAAGCTGAGGACTAAGGGGAAAATAACAGGACGGTGGTGGTGGTGATGCGACTGTTAGAGCAGACCTCCGAAATCAAATGTCAGCTGTGTAACAGCCGAGAGATCCTCGCACGAGGCAGCGGAAAAAGCGAGGTGCGATGGCATTATTGACCTCTGGATGCCGACCCAGACCTAGTTTCTCGCTGTCCGTAGACGGGAGCATGTTAGGGGTGTAACGGGTTGGTTTTGTGGCTCCGTGTCTCCAGCTGGAGCGCTCACCCACGGCGTGGCTCGAGCGAGTGTAGTCCGACCCCGGGTGCAGGGACATCTCCCACGCAGGCCTCAACGCCCCTCCTGCCGGCAGCACAAAAAGGGGTTCTGCTGTCATTAATGCGCACACGCAACGTCCACGCTCCTTAGGGCGCCACGGTGGCGAGATGTTAACTACCTCGCCTGGCACACAGGTGGTGGGTTCGATCCCGACCCTGACACCTGTAATAATCTAAACACACCTCATTTAATCAGAGCTTGGAAAGCTAAGCAGACTTGAGCTTGTATAGTGCTTAGATGGGTGCACTCTACACAACGGGTTGCTACAGGCTGTGGGGCTGCTTAGTGGGCAGCAGATGGCAGTGCAGTAAAATCCATTGTTGTACTGTACTGCAATTCTATACAGTACTCAATGAGCAATGCCTCGCGCATGAAATTATGACACTCGACATATTTGCATCTTTTTTTCTTCTCTCAGTCGAATTCCTATTGTTCCATCGGTATCATGAGACAAACACAATTTAAATGGGAACTCGCACAGTGATCAGTGTACCCTCACATTGTGCTAGAGCAGGGGTCGGCAACCTGTGGCTTCGGAGTCGCGCGCGGCTCTTTACAGACTGCTTCGTGACGTAATGTATGTTGTGTGTGTATGAGTGGGGAGCGGTAGGGTCGTGGTTAGCACGCAGCGCTACGAACCCGGCGACCTGAATTCGGTTCCCGCTCACGGCCAACACACATCAACCAGAGGCGAGGAGTGGTGGTCGGGGTTACTTATGCCCCCACTGAAGACGAACATCCGTGGAGGGATGCAGGCAAAGCCGATGAGTCAGATGCCTTCTATGACCTCCTGCACAGGTGCTAGCTAAAGTGGCCCCTTGGGATAGAGTCATCTTGTTTGGTGACTTCAATGCCCGAGTTGGTCATGATGCTGGCACCTGGTCTGGAGTGACTGGAAGGCATGGGCCAGATCAGCTCAATAACAATGGCAGGAGGCTGCTAGATTTTTGTGCTGCCCATGGGCTTGTAATTACCAACACGCTGTTCCGGCATCGGCGCATCCACACAACATCATGGATGCATGGCGGGTCCAAGCAAGAACATCTGCTGGACTAAATAGTGATGGAACAGCGGATGCGGGCCCATGTCCTTGACACCAGGACCTACCATGGAGCTGATCTGCCCACTGACCATCGACTTGTCATCTGGAAGATGCGCCTGCCATTCTTCCACTCCGGTGGTGGGTGTACACCCAGGATCAAATTCAAACCCTTAGTGGCATGGTCTCAGCTAGTTGATCAAAGTTGCAACCGAGAATTTCATCATCGCTTGCGGCTGGGGATGGCATCGTCCCCCACTCCTCCTGATGTCGAGGGGAAATGGACAAGGTTTAGGACTGTGGCTCATGCAGCTACAATGGCTGCTTTTGGTACACGGTTCAGACATCTCCAGAGACCCTGGCTGAGAGAGGAGGTGTTCAAGCTGGCTGAGAAAAAGTGACAAGCCCACTCTCATCGGCTACAGCATCCCACGTCGGAGAATGAGGAGGCTTACCGCAGCCTTCGCTCGGAGGTTCGGAGAGCCGTGAGGCGCTATAATGATGGGTGGTGGTCGCGGGTTTCTGAGGAGATGGAGTCTGCCTCAATTGCCCGTGATCACAAATCGCTCTTTAATTCCATCAAAAAAGTAACCTGCAGCGCCATACAGAATTACCATCATTAGGGGAAAGAACGGTGATCCAATCTCCGACCCCCAGGAACAGGTTTTCAGATTTGCTGAGCATTTCTGTGAGGTCCTGCGGGAGGGGAAATCCCTCATCCTGGAAAACAACGTGGGACAAAGTGGGGATGACCCTGCCGAGGCTGCGGTGCCTGAAATATTGGAAGAAGAAGTCATCCCTTGTGAGTTGCTCGCTCAGATATCATCTGTTGAGGAATATTTTCTGTCCGTCTGGTACAGCAGAGGTGTAGGGAATTCCAACAAGACCTACATCTCTGCTTTATTGACCTGGTCAAGGCCTATGATACCATCAGTAGGCCTGGGCTCTGGGTTGTTCTTCGTGCTTTCGGAGTCCCTGACCCTATGCTCACGATCATTAAGGACCTTCATGATGGTGAGCGGGCCCGGGTAAAACTACGTGGCCGGGAGTCGGAGCGATTCCCTGTACACCTTGGGGTGTGACAGGGATGTCCTATTGCTCCCACATTATTTAACATCTATTTCGACCACGTAGTTCGTGAAGCCTTCAATAGCTGTACCGGAGGAATTTACATCTGGAACAGATACAATGGGAGGCTGATCGATGCCCGGGTGCGGTCAAGGGATGGCTCCCTATTGCTCAACCATGTTATGTATGCCGATGATCTGTTAATTGCTGCTCACTCAAAGGAGGAGTTGGAGGCGCTGCTGCTTAACCTGGAACTTGCCACTAAGAGGTGGGGCCTTACAATCAGCCCCACCAAAACTAAGTACCTGCCTGGATATTTTGTACCATCGGACACTCCATCCCCACAACTCCCAATTGGTGATAGGGCAGTTGTGGAGAGGGTGGAGAGTTTCTCATACCTGGGCAGTGTGCTCATGACCGGCTCCGGTTTAACAGCAGAGGTCTCACTCTGAATCAGTCGAGCGGCATTCTCTTCATCGGTTGCGTAACGCTGTGTGGAAGCTACCTGGTCTGTCGCTCCGCACGAAGCTTCAGGTCTTCTCAGCCACAGTCATTCCCTCCCTTCTCTATGCTTGCGAAACGTGGTCCCCCCTAATGGAACATCTTCGCCAGTTATACATATTTAGGCTGGCCTGACCTACAATACATCAAGGGTTTAACCAGGCTAGATTAAGTGAGGAGCTCACAAATCCTTGAAAGATCTAGACAAAGTCCCATCGGTGAGCTCCTCCGGCAGGAAAAGCTGCGTTGGCTGGGCCATGTAGCCCGCATGCCCAACCACCGCATGCCCAAACAGCTTTTGTTCGGCTGGATAGAGGGGGCTAAACGGGCACGGCACGGGTCAGAGAAGAGATGGAGTTTTGTGGTACAGGAGGATGTGGAGCTGAGTGGACTTGCCGATGACTGGTACCAGTCGCCTCCAACAACAACGAGAGGAGTGCCGGGTGGCTAAAGCACAGCAAGTTGGCACAGTGGGGGGCACAGGTGGTGCATCAGCCAGTCGTCTCAGTCAGTCGACCTGTGGCATCTGGGTCTGCCCCGTGACCTCCTGCCAGCAGGCGTTCGATACTTCACGTGGCCTCAAGGTGCACATAATCTGGCACAAGTGTCGTGGTGATGTCACTGCCACTTAGTGGCGAATGGCGGTTGTTGTTGCATTCCCATGCATTGCGGATCTTGAAATATTGTACTGAATTCGAAACAAATAGGCCCCTCTTGTTATTTTGGTTGCCGGCTCGTGGGGAAGATGCTGTCACCTCGCTAGGCCACTTATCCACACCAGGTGGCGCGCCTTCGTAGGCCTTGCCAAGTTATAGCCATTGCGTCAAAAACCCTGGTGTTTAGTCTTCGGAGAAAATGAAAATGCTGAAGTAACATTTTTTTTGTGCGCAGTCATTGGTGACTGTGGCGAGACCATCAACATCGCTAAACTTGAGAATCTGGTTCAATCACAATACAGTGCCGTCAACGCAAGACTCACGCACGCACATAGCATCACAGCAGCGAGTGCCGGTTCAGTGCTCTTGACGCGGTCATTATCAGCCTTCTCAGTGTCACTGGAGCAATGACAAGAACATTACATACACACAAAAGCTTCACTTCAGCTGTGCGACTGGTCCAAAAGCCAGCGCTGCTATGCACCGCTGCAGCGAGCAACAGAAATAGCGACAGGCGAGCCACGAGCGTGTGAGAGCTCGGCAGCGTAGGCTATGGCCCGGCACTGCTGCCGCTACTACCATTGGCCATTTAGATGCCATCAGTCGTGTCTAATCAAGGCTAAACCGTAGTGATAGCGCACACGGCGTTGGCACCCAGGCCCTGAATTTGCCAAAGCCAACACTGTACCAGTCTCGTGGGGGGGGGGGGGGGGGGCGTGCAGGCGTGCGCTGGTGCCATTGTCAAATTACTGGTGCCCAGTTTTGCCAAAGTTTTTCTGTTGTTGTTGCTTAAATGTCAAAAATCCACGAAAAAAACGTGTAAAGTTTGATTCAGTATTATTTTCTTTGACTGAAAGGCAACGCGCTGTGAGCACCTGGTAAGAGGGTATTTATGGCACAATAGGGATGGTGTGTAGCCACCATTGTGCACGCCTGAATGCGTCAGTGCTGATGTTGGTCACAACGCCCCTCGCCAGATACTAAGGCAGAGGTTGACCTAGAGGATACACGTGCTAGGTTATGATAACATTTCAACTTGTGCTGTGAATCACAGCCAAGAACCAAGCATTTCAATCACGGTGCCATCTGGCCGGTTTCACGATAGTGTTCAATGTTTAAAGTCAGACCCCCCCCCCCCCTACGGAAGGAGAAGCAAAGTGGATGACAGTAGTTACACTGGCTGGTGATGTCTGCAAATGGAGGGGAAAATATATATTGCTGTGGTTGGAAAACTTTACTACAATCTAATGCCTTTTAAAGCAATCCAAAATGCGCTACATTTGCATCTGGAAGATGATACGCACACTGCACAGGAATTAAGCAAAAGCGTACAGATGAGGAGCGCAAGGTGGAAACACAGAGGGCGCCGCAGCATCGAGATGTTAACTACCTCGCCTGTTGTACTGGAGGTTGTGGGTTCGATTCTGACTGACGCCTGTATATTTGGAGTTTGCATGTCCCGCTCCCCGTGGTCGCGTGGAATTTTCTCCAGGTACCCCGGTTTCCACCCCCCACATTTAGAATCAACGTGTGTTTGGCTGCTATACATTTCCATATGATAAGCCACTTCGTTGAGCTATCATTTGTGGCCGGGTCGCTTCTGAAAAAGGGCTATACAGCTCAGTGGGCCTTACCTGGTAAAATAAAAAAATAGTTTTAGTTTAGTTTAAATAGGCTGACCACAAAGCAGAAAATAGCCCACAAGAGGGACAGCTCATTATCCGTATCAAATCAACGACTGAAGTGATTTGTTCAGAAAT